CAAGTCATTGGGAAACTAAAACAGGGGAAAGAGATACCCTAAAGAAAGTTTCCGTCTGTGAAATAGATAAGAAGAAAAGGACTCTACCAGAAAAACAAGGCCAAAAGTGGAAGGAATTTGGAGAAAGCTTGACTTCAGGTTCAGCTCTTTCTGAAAGTTTAATAGGTACTGAAGGAAAGAAGTTTTATAAATGTGATATATGTTATAAACATTTCAATAAAATCTCCCATCTTATAAACCATCGGAGAATCCACACTGGTGAGAAACCTCATAAATGTAAGGAGTGTGGAAAAGGCTTTATTCAGCGCTCAAGCCTTCTAATGCATTTACGGAACCATTCTGGGGAGAAACCTTATAAATGTAATGAATGTGGGAAAGCCTTCTCTCAAAGTGCTTACCTTCTAAACCATCAGAGAATCCACACTGGGGAGAAGCCTTATAAATGTAAGGAGTGTGGAAAGGGCTTCTATAGGCATTCAGGCCTTATTATACATCTAAGGCGCCATTCTGGGGAGAGACCTTATAAATGTAATGAATGTGGGAAAGTTTTCTCTCAGAATGCTTACCTCATTGACCATCAGAGGCTCCACAAAGGGGAAGAACCTTATAAATGTAACAAGTGTCAGAAAGCTTTCATTCTGAAGAAGAGCCTCATTCTGCACCAGAGAATCCACTCTGGGGAAAAGCCCTATAAATGTGATGAATGTGGAAAAACCTTTGCTCAGACCACTTACCTTGTTGACCATCAGCGGCTCCACAGTACAGAGAACCCATATAAATGTAAAGAATGTGGAAAAGTTTTCATTCGAAGCAAAAGCCTCCTCTTACACCAGAGAGTACACACAGAAAAGAAGACTTTTGGTTGCAAAAAATGTGGGAAGATTTTCAATTCAAAGTCAAACCTCATTGACCATAAGAGGATGCATAGCAGAGAGAAGCCATATAAATGTACTGAATGTGGGAAAGCCTTCACTCAGAGTGCTTACCTTTTTGACCACCAGAGACTCCACAATGGAGAGAAACCTTACGAATGTAATGAGTGTGGGAAAGTTTTCATTCTAAAGAAGAGCCTCATTTTACATCAGAGGTTCCATACTGGAGAGAATCTCTATGAATGTAAAGACTGTGGCAAGGTCTTTGGTTCTAACAGAAACCTCATTGACCATGAAAGACTACACAATGGGGAGAAGCCCTATGAATGTCGAGAGTGTGGGAAGACTTTCATCATGAGCAAAAGTTTCATGGTCCATCAGAAACTACATACACAGGAGAAATCCTACAAATGTGAGGATTGTGGGAAGGCTTTTAGTTATAATTCAAGCCTGCTCGTACATCGGAGAATCCACACCGGAGAAAAGCCCTTTGAATGCAGTGAGTGTGGAAGGGCTTTCAGTTCTAACAGAAACCTCATTGAACATAAGAGAATCCACAGTGGTGAGAAACCCTATGAGTGTAATGAGTGTGGTAAATGCTTCATTTTGAAGAAAAGCCTCATTGGACATCAGCGGATTCACACAAGGGAAAAATCTTATAAATGCAGTGACTGTGGGAAAGTCTTCAGTTACCGCTCAAACCTTATAGCCCATCAGAGAATCCATACTGGTGAGAAGCCCTATGCATGTAATGAGTGTGGGAAAGGCTTTACTTACAACAGAAACCTCATTGAACATCAAAGAATTCACAGTGGGGAAAAAACCTATGAATGTCATATATGTAGAAAAGTTCTTACCTCTAGTAGAAATCTTATGGTACATCAAAGAATCCACACTGGAGAGAAGCCTTATAAATGTAATGAGTGTGGAAAAGACTTCAGTCAGAATAAAAACCTTGTTGTACATCAGAGGATGCACACTGGGGAAAAACCATATGAGTGTGAGAAGTGTAGAAAATCTTTTACTTCTAAAAGGAATTTAGTTGGCCACCAGAGAATCCATACAGGGGAGAAACCGTATGGGTGTAATGATTGTAGTAAAGTTTTTAGGCAGAGAAAAAACCTTACTGTACATCAGAAAATTCATACAGATGGAAAACTTTGTGAATGTGATGAGTCTGAAAAAGAATTCTCTCAAACTTCAAACCTTCATCTTCAACAAGAAATCCATACTGTGGAGGAATTCTCTTGGCTCCAAAATGCCAATGAGTCCAAGACAGAGATTCAGAAAATCTAGTGTCATTTGTAAAAGGGGATAAAATCCCTGCCTACCTAAGTAACTATTAGACAAATGGCAGTGTATGGTCCTTGCAAGGAAAAAATTCATGATTGACCCTTTTGTAGACAAATGATTTGCATGTGAAAGAAAGTTAATCTAGACTTTCAAGACTACATAAACCAAATTCTAGTTAAAGAATATTATGTCCCAGACCATTTGTTATGACTCTGGAAAGGAGCCTTAGAGCACTTGAAGGCTCTGAAGAACCTTACGATATGTAATGATGTAGTTGTAAATGATAGCAAAAATATCTTTGTATTAAGAAATGGACATTGTTTCTGGAAATGTGTATATTGTACATTTTAAAAATAGCTTCACTGCTACAAAAAGTCTCGAGCATATGATTGAGACATGTCAGACATGGAGTTGAGTGGGCAAGAGTCTGCTGTTTGAGGACAACTTAAGAAGAGCACTAGATTTGGAATTAGAAGACCGAGGTTTGGGTCCTGGCTCTTCCTCTTACTAGCTATGTGATGTTGTTAAGTCAGCCTCTAGGCCTCAGTTTCTCTGTCAGTCAAGTGTTGACATAATGCTTTCTTAAAAGGGTTTGAGGATTAAGTGAAAGGATGGTTGTGAACATACTTTGTGAAATAATTTAGTTGTCAATAAAGTTGGGTAAAAGAGGTATGGTCAAAATCTAGAACATAATGTATGTTTGGCATACATTATGGCATAATGTAATGTTTGTTTATTACATCAATATTAGGACTCTGGGAACTTCAAAAATACTCATTTTTTAAGAGGAAGTATGATGGATAGCTTACTTTGGATTTAATAGTCTAGAAGACTTTTTAAAAAGATAGTTTTCAGAATTTGATGGGATTAATAGATAATATGCCTAGTTTGTTTTGATGGTAAAATACTGGCTTATTATGGAAAAGCAATATTATGTCCAGTTGTTAACACTGAAGCCAAGGAAAACTGTTTTTCAACCTTCAGATTTGAAACCTGGCAGATGTAGAATGTCAAAATGGAAGGACAGTCCTGTGTTGCTTTCCTTGTTCATAGGGAAAAGTCCTTAACTCCAACCCCTGAGCTAATGATCACTGCCACTTTATTCTCAGTTCTAATCAACATTTCACCACTGCTGACATATGAAAGCTTGTTACTCAAGAAGCAACATTCTGTTCCAGTACTCAACTTACTAATAAGTTTCACAAGAACCAAGTCCTTAAAGCTCTGATTAAATCGATTCAGAATCCACCCCTGAGTGGTCAGGCCCATTACTGCCTGTGAACCAATCATTCATTCAGTCTGTTCTCTTTTGTACATTTGTAGATTTAATTCATCCTATATTCTTGAGTTGCTATTTTTATATTGTAATTCTCAAAACTCCCAGTTCTGCAGCTGGACTATAAATACCTTAATATCCAGATTGTGTTTCTAATAATAGCATTGAACTGATGTGTTGATAAATGTTACTAATTCAACCTCAGAGTTCCTTGAGGTCTGGTTCCTCGTTAGACTGAAAGGTAAACAAGAGTGAAAAATGGAAGGGCCCAAGATTTAAAGTCTTAAGACCTGGGTATAAGTCAGCTTCTGCCACTTTCCTTGGACAGATGCTTTTATTACTTGGAGCCTTGATTTCCTCATCTGTATAACAGGAGGGAGAATATCTACCTCACAAAGTTGTTATGAGGTAATGAATATGGAGATGCTTTGTATCTGTGCTATAGAAGAATCACTACAGATTATGTAATTACAAAGGGGAAGATGTACTTTAACAGAGAAGCTGGCATTCACCTCTTAACCATCACTAAGACCAAGACAACCTACATTATCTGCCTCCTCATGTGATGCAATAAGCCAGAAGTGTAACCTGAATTTATCAAGCTTCTTAGACCTAATCGCCAGTTTACAGGAAATACAGGAAGCAGACGAACAAGATAAATGACACAACAAGAAACAAATTTAGAACAGGGACTATTGTATAAGAAAACTGCACTGGATTCTTCAAAAATATGATGAAAAAGGAAGAGGGTGATAATTGTTGAAGCTGGATGAATATTGGGTGTTCATTGTACTGATCTCTGCTTTTGTATATGTGTTATATTTTCCAGAATGAAAGGTATAAAAAGTGGGTGAGGGAGGTTGTTTTTAAAAGATACTGAAGAACCATAAGACACTAAGAGCCAGAGATAGACTCACACAAATGCCCAATTGATTTTTGGCAAAGGTTGAACAATTCGGTAAAAGGGATAGCGTGTTCAACAAATGCTGCTGGTGGAATTTGATATCCATAGGCAAATATCCATCCATCCATCCGTCCATCCATCCATAGTCAGGAGCTAGGACTAAGCAAAAAACTCTTAGATTTACATCAAAAGCAGGCTCCATAAAAGGAAAAATGATAAATTGGACCTCATCACAATTAAAATAATTTGTTCTGCAAAAAAAACAAAAACAAACACTTTTTAAGAGTGATAAGACATTACAGACTTGGGGAAAATATTTGTAAATCATATATTCAACAGGATTTGTATCTATACTACATAAAGAAATCTCAAAACTCAACAATAATAGATTCATTCAATTAGAAAATGGGCAAAAGACATGTAAAGACATTTCACCAAAATATAGAGAGCAAATAAATGAAAAGATATTCACCATCATTAGCCAGTAGAGAAATACAAGTTAAAAAAAAAAATGCACACGTGTCAGAATAGCTTAAAAAAAGAAAAACAGTGTTATTAAATCTCGGCAAGGATGCAGAGAAACTGGGTCTTGTCTGTTGCTGGGAATGTTAAATGATACAGCCACTCTGGAAAATAGTTTGGCAGTTTCTTACAAAACCAAACAGGCGCTTACGATATGACCTGGTATTTGTACTCCTGAACGTTTACCCCCAGAGAAATGAAAACTTAATTCAGACAAACATATGTACATGACTGTTCATAGCAGTTTTACTTGTAATAGTCAAAATCTGTAAGTAACCCAAAATAGCTTCAACAAGTGGCCAAAACAGTATTCTATTTATACCATGAATACTTACTACTCTCCAATAAAATGGAATGACCTATTCCTGCAGTGACAAGTGAATTTCAAGAAAATTACGCTGAGTGAAAATACAATCTCAAAAGGTGGTATTCTGTATGATTCTACTTATATAATATTCTAAAATGACAAAACTATATAGAGATGAAAGACAGATTAGTGGTTGCCAGAGGTTGGGGATGGTGGGAGGGGGCAGGAGGGAGAGAGAGGGGTAGCACTTAGGAAGGTCTTTGTGATGTTGGAACAGTTACGTATCTTGATTGTGGTAGTGGTTACACAAATACATGTGATAAAATGAGGTAGAAGTCTACACAAACATTGTACCAGTGTCAACTTCCTGATTTTTATATTAAATGATAATTATGTAAATTGTACCTGTTGAGGGAAACTGGGAGAAGGGTATTTTTCCAACTTCCTGTGAATTGTTAAATTCAAAGTAAAAGGTAAAACAAGACCCTAAAAAAGCCATAACCAAATGCAGTGTGAAACCGATTTGAAAACAAAATGATGAAAATACATATTTTAGGGTAGCTGGGGAGATTTGAATATGACTGGATATTAGATGATATTAGGAAATTGTTAGTTTTCTTACCATTATGTAATGGTATTATAATGTTTGGAGAATATTATTATTAAAGGATGCATTTTGAAGAGTTTGGAATGAAGTGGTTTGATGTTTACAACTTTCAAAAAAATATTTTTCAGTATATATATAGAGAGAAGGAAAACGTAGTCAAGTGTTGAGTCCAGATGTAGGATACAGGTATTCATGGTACCATTCTTTCACCTTTTCTGTACCGTTTGTATTTTCAAAATAAAACGTTTGAGGCAAAATTGTCAGGGCTTTCTACAGACAAATGCTTTCTGGCTTCAGGCTCCTGCGTATGCGCCTCGCGTAACTACTACCAAGTCAGGGGATGTACCCTTCCCTGAAGCTCAGGGCCACAGTACACCTGCACCCTCCTAAACACTTTTGCTCCCATCCCTGGTCCGCAGCGATATTGGACACCCATCGAGAAGACAGCACCTCCGAGGTTCCCAGAGAGGCCGGCCTGGCGACTTGGGAAGCCGGAAGTCCGTCTCGAGGCACTTCCTGTCCGCTCATTGTTCTCGCGCCGGCAGGCGCAGGACGTCGGATTCTGCCGGCCTTTCGGCATAGAGCCCGTGACCTCCGGCCGGCGTCTTCTATGAACACGGTCAGTGGAGTTGGCGGTGGTGGGCACGGACGTTGCGGGTGCGGGAGGGGCCATTCCAGGGGCGGACTGCCGCGACCTCCCCTCGGAGGTCCAGGTTTGTCTGTCCCTAGGGCGGCTCCGCGTCCCACCACTTCAGAAACACGGCTGCCGCCTACCGGGGGTCTGGCCTGGGGGACCTTGGAGACGGACAACACCAGGGGCCAGGCTCACCCCGGGAATAGGGCTGTTTGAGGTATGAAGGGGGAGGAGGTGGGTTGCCACATTTGGAAATAGGGAAAGGACACTGAAAGGGAAGCCCCTGATAGGGAACTCGGTGCTGTCTGGGGTGGAGGCGATGTGAGTTTTGTCAGCAGTACGGTAAGAAGGCTCGAAGTGTAGGCAGTCTTGCCTATACACAGGTGAGACGAGTGTTAAGGGCCTTCGTACATGGTAGAATTCAGCTAATCATGGAAAGAATAATCCTCCAGGATTGAGAATTGTTGCAGGAGTGAAAGTGCTATTGTTATTTAAGAAATTCAGTGTGTACGGTAAATTCACAGTAAGTTGACATAGGAGAAAGCATGTGATTACTTCAATAATAGCAAAAGGGGACTTAATAGAATTTAGCACTCTTTCCCCCAATAAAACATCTGAAGGGGAATAGAAAAATCTTAATTTCTTCATAATAAACTAAACTAGTAAGATCGTTTTACTCACAAATTAAACAACAAAAACAACAAAGATCCGCTGGCTTGGCTATGATAAAAAGGGTGTTGTTAAGTTGGTGGTGGTGTGATTTGGTGTGATCCTTTTAGAAAGCAATTTGGCACTGTATCTCAACCATGAAATCCTTAAACCAGTAATCCCTCTATTCTGAAGGAATAATTCAGCAGAAGAAAAAACTATTTGCACAGAAAAAATTTTAACATTGTTAAGAATATAAACTGGAAACAAAACTTTTACTAAAGCAATGGCTCATAGATAGGGTTGGTTAAGTTATAATGCCAGAATGAGGTAGCTCTGTATGTACTTATGTTGAAAGATTTATTCAAGACTATGGAATAGTGTGAGAAATATAGAAATTGAGTTTAAATGCTGAAAAATGCACGAGTGTAATCTAATCTCTTTTGGGAAAATAAGCAATATATGTAAAGGTGTACATTATCTGTATGGAAATGCAGAGAAAACACTGATGACTGATAATTACTGTGTGTGTGTGTGTAGGACATATATTTACTTATACATATTTCTGTGTTGATCCTTTTTGGATGAGAATGACAGATTAGGAGAATTAATATAAGTTTTTGTATGTATAGCTACTAAAAATGATAAGCATGAAGAATGGCAACATAAAACATCTTTTTTTTATCTTAAGACGAATACAAGGCATTTAGAAGAAATGGAAAAAATAAACAAAAAGAAGCTCAAAACTACCTGTAAATAAATACATCACCTAGAGATGACCACCCCTAGATGGTGTCTAGACTCTCAGTCTTTTTCTTGAGATTCTTTATGCTATTGTGTATCTGGCGATAAAAAAAACCTCTTTGTGTTGTAATATTCCTTCTTAAAAAAAAATGGTGATAATTGTAAAAATATATATCCCCATAGTTAAAAAACAAAAAGTTTAATAAGTCATAATTGTCAGTGTGGTTGAAGGTTTTCCCTTAAAAGAAATATCTTAGATTCGGTGCTATAGCTCTTTGGAGATGGAGTAGGGCTGATATTTCTTAGTCATTTTCTGTATTTTTCAAGTTTTACAGTAAAAATACATTAACTCTATAATCAGGAAAAAAATAAACACTATGAAGCTGTTTGTAATGTGATTATTATGGGAATAAATTACATGTTTGCAGTTGAACCCTCTCCATCCTATGAGGGAGGAGTAGAGCAGACTCTTGCTATAGTGGCTGCTGCCTAGGCATTGGTGAAATTGGCCAGTGGGCTTAATGGCATCCAGGCAAACCTCTGCTTGATGCTAACAATGTTTTCTGGTTTTTCAGTAGACAGTCTTGGCCCTGGGAAGAAACTCAAGAAGAAGCTTTTGAAACTTAAAGATTAGATGGGGCTTGACCTCTGCTGGGCAGCCCCCAGCTGTAAGAGTTCCTGTCCTGAGCAAAGAAGATGACTGCACAACTGAGAGAGGCCATGGCCTTAGCCCCCTGGGGCTCAGTGACAGTGAAAAAGGAGGAGGAAGAGGAAGAAAACTTCCTAGGTCAGGCATCCAGCCAACAAGTGCATTCTGAGAACACCAAAGTCTGGGCTCCTGGGGAAGGTCCTCAGACAGGCCTTGATATATCAGAACAGGAGGAAAAGGTAAATAATGGTCTGGGAAGAAAGTGGGAGGAGAGACCTGAAGACCTCAAGTGGTTTCAGGGGCGACTATGTCCCTCTGCTTCCACGCCTGGAGTATTATTTTCTATCTAGGGCTCTAGCCTTTAGGCCTTTGGAATATAATAGAAACAGTCTCTTCTGATTGAGGGGACGTTTAGTGCTTTCTGTAAACTAGTGGTTCTCAAACCTTGCTACACAGAATTAATTGGGGAGCTTTTTATAAAATTGTGATGCTCATGCCATACTTGGTTCCAATTAAATGAGAATCTTGGGGTGGGACCCAGACATCTGTGTTTTTTAAAAACCCTTCAGGTGACTCCAGTCAGGATCTGATAGCTCTAACCTGTGCTTCTCAAATTTTAAAATGATTTAGTATCTCAAATTTTTTTTTTTTTAAAGATTTTATTTATTTATTTGAGAGAGAGAATGAGAGACAGAGAGCACGAGAGGGAAGAGGGTCAGAGGGAGAAGCAGACCCCCTGCTGAGCAGGGAGCCCGATGTGGGACTCGATCCCGGGACTCCAGGATCATGACCTGAGCTGAAGGCAGTTGCTTAACCAACTGAGCCACCCAGGCGCCCTAGTATCTCAAATTTTAATCACTAGGAGGTCTTGTTAAAATGCAGATTCTGATTCAAAAGGTCTGGGTTAAGATTCTGTACTTCTCACAAGCTCCCAGGTGTTGGTGATCTATGGGTTGCACTTCGAGTAGTGAGGATATACACTGTACTGTGCTCCCGAATGTTTTCAAATACTGCTCCTTACCATCACTAGACAGATGAGACTGAGGTTCCCCAAAGATCATGATCTTGCTTCTCTGATCCTTAGACCTCAGAAAACTCTAGCCTGGAAAATCTCCTCATACGCTCTTTTTGTCATGCACTCCCTGGCAAGCTAGTTTTGGATGCCAGAGTGGGCAATGAAGTGAAATCAAAGTGATAGAGAAGAAAGTTGCAGGCTTGATTGTCTATCTGACTCATGTTGGGGGATCAGAGAAGACTCTGACTTTATTTTCCCTTTTTGTTGTTTTAAAAAAAAAATCTTTTATGGTCTGCAGGAATAGGTACTTATGTTCTCACCTTGAAAACTAATCATACCACCTCCCACTAACAATCGCCTCATAAACTGACCTGTGCTTTCTTATCTCTAGAGTCCAAACATGTTCTGGGATATGGCTGTCATCCTGAAAGCAACACAGGAGGCACCTGCTGCCTCAGCCATTGGCAGCTACTCATTACCAGGGACTCTGGCCAAGAGTGAAATACTGGAGACTCATGGGATTATGACCTCTCTAGGTAAAGTTTAACTCCCTGATTCAGAATCTGACCATTGGGGTTTCTCAAAAATCTATTCAGAGACTGGTGGTCTGGTCTCCTAAGTTGAGAAACATAGAGTATTGAGGTATTGAAACTATCAGGGAGAGCTGGATAGAGGAATGCCAAAAGATGCATATGCATTTGTCACAGGAAATGGCTTATTTTGCACAGTCTTAAGACACCAGACAAACACAGGTGAACTCCAAATTCACCTTTTAATCACATTTACTGATTAGCAAGCTTCATATCTATTCACACATGGAGACACATCTTCTTCATGTGCTTTGTGTTTATCATTAGTTGGTGAGCCTGGAAGAGAAGCTAGCTAAGGCTAGCTATGTAAAAGACGGGTCAATTTTTGTGGTGATTTTGAGGAACTGTCCTGGAAATGTTCTGTTTTTATAGATCTTTGTGCAGATTCCAGAGGATTTTGAGCAGATGTGTCAACTATATTGATGTTCAAAGCTAGGTCTTCATGGATGTACAGACGGCTGGCTTATCACCTGGTTTTTTCTCTAAGCTGGGACTCAGGATATGTCTGACTAGCAATGGCAGAAGCTTACCTGTGGAGGAGTGACATGTAACTGTGGGTCAAGAATATGGTAGCCATGGGTCCTGTGTTGTAGAAGTAGTCTCTGGATGACTGCCAAGTTCCTTCTGGTACTCACATTCTATAAGTCTGCCTGGTCCAGAGCTACATCTGAATATTTTGAACCCACTCTGCTCTCTAACCCATTTCTCAGACTGACTGCTTTCTTTTTTTTTTTTTTTAAGATTTTATTTATTTATTTGAGAGACAGAATGAGAGAGAGAGAGAGAGAGCATGAGAGGGGGAGGGTCAGAGGGAGAAGCAGACTCCCTGCCGAGCAGGGAGCCCGATGCGGGACTCGATCCAGAGACTCCAGGATCATGACCTGAGCCAAAGGCAGTCGCTTAACCAACTGAGCCACCCAGGCGCCCAGACTGACTGCTTTCTTAAACCAGTATTGTGGGAAATGTTAGGATTATCACCTTTCATTTTCTTGTCTGTTCTTTCTTTAATCATTCCCCCTGTCAGCAGCTTCTGTTGCCCACTTTTCTGCTCTCTATTCATTCTCTCTGGTACATTCTGTTCATTATCACTTACTTTCTGTTTCCTTGCTTTAGCAATCATTCACTGTCTTAACTCCAGCAGTGGCACCCATCCATCAGGAATGGTCACTCTTTTCCTTCTTTGCCTCATACCTTAAGAACCTGTTCCCAGCCAAAATTTACCTTTTGTGTGCTGCCAGCTGTTTGCATAGCAGCAGGTAGCAATGACATGAGCTCTAGGAATTAAGAGAAAGATGCGAGTGTAGTTGCTGCCCTGCCTTTGATAACTCTGTGACCTTGAACAAGTCCTTTCTCTCTCAACCTCCATTTCCTGTTCTGTCAACTGGGATGTATTCATTCAGTAAATACAGGATTTTGGGGGGGGCCTGCTTTCTATGTGCTGGGTAGTGTTATAGGTGAATAAGACATAGTCTTGCCCCCTTTTTTTTGTTTTTAGCTCCCACACAGGTGAAAGAGAATAGTTTTATCTTGATGCTAAAATCATATAATATACATGAACATGTTTTGGAAATTTTGATGTGTTACTGGTGGATAATATTTGAGAGAGTTTTATCTACAATTTCCTGTGTATTAATTACTATTGGATTTATTAAAGTTTATACATTTAAAACCAAGTTTTTAAGCATTTAAACATAACTTATTTTTTTTATTTATTTTATTTTATTTTATTTTATTTTATTTTAAGATTTTATTTATTCATTTGAGACACAGAGATACAGAGAGAGAGAGAGAAAGCATGAGCAGGGGAGAGAGGCAGAGGGAGAGGGAGAAGCAGGCTCCTCGCCGAGCCAGGAGCCTGATGTGGGGCTCGATCCCAGGACCCTGGGATCATGACCTGAGCTGAAGGCAGACGCTTAACCATCTGAGCCACCCAGGTGCCCCTAAACATAACTTATTTTTATTTTACTTATACATCTAGAAAAATTTTTATAAAAATAAGAATATTTGTACTTTTTCTTTAATTCATGTTTAGTTAAGGCTCAGGTTTTACAGATTAATTTTTTAAACCTTTTAAAGCATTTTGCTCCACCTACATATCAATTTCTTTATATAAAAATTTCCTTATTTTTATTCTCAAATAAAAATAGTAAAATGTATTAAGTTTCAAATTTAATATATCTAATTTTTTTTTTTTTTTTAAGATTTTATTTATTTATTTGACAGAGACACAGCAAGAGAGGGAACACAAGCAGGGGGAGTGGAAGAGGGAGAAGCAGGCTTCCTGCTGAACAGGGAGCCCAATGCGGGGCTTGATCCCAGGACCCTGGGATCATGACCTGAGCCGAAGGCAGACGCCCAACTACTGAGCCACGCAGGCGCCCATACTATCTAATTCTGTAAAACATTTCAAACACCTAAGTAGGCAGACTTTCTAATCTTATATATAAAATCTTGATAAACACACGACTTTTGTAAATCTAATAAATTTGTAATGACTTACAAATTTAGTAAATTAAATCACCTTTCATATATTATAATACAGTCACCAACTAAGATGGCAGACTTGTATAGCATTTCAGATCTCTTTTTTAAAAAAATGAAGGAAGAGTATTGATTTCAGAAGTTATTACTTTGCCTATCCTCTGGTTGATTACAAGTACATTTTTAGTTTATTTCTGTACTTTACTTGGGTTACAGTAATCCTTCAAGATCCAGAAAAGGAAAAATACCATCTCAAACAAGCCAGAGGTACAGGTTCTACACTATTGGCTAATTAATAACCCAAGGGGATTTGAGCTTGAGTACACAGAATGAGCCTTCTTTCCTTTTCTTATACCCTGGGCATTGGCTAAGATCCTAGCTCTTACTTCATCCCTGTGATGAAACTGTTAAAATAACCACTACATGGAGACCCTTGTAGGCCACAGTTGTACCTGCTTCTGTAATAATTTTGACAGAAAGCATGATGCAAATAAAAAGAGTTGTTTCTGTTACTGGTTCTAGTTGGTTCAGTAATTCCCACCAGTCTTCTCTTTCATGTCTTTCTAGTGTTCTAAATCTCATGGTAAAAAGGTAGGAGTGAGGTCAGGGGATGGAAGTGAGGTCATAGACTGAAGTATTCTTGGACTTTGTTTTTGTTGGAGAGATGCTTAGTGGGAATAGGAGCCCCCCACCCCCCCTTTTAAGTAATGCAGGGCTAAAGCAAAGAAGGAGGAGATGGAAAAAAGCAGGAGGGAGATTTAGAAGGGAGAAAAATTAGGTGAGATGTATGGGATAAAGGAAGTAGAGAACATAAAAGAGAACAAAGTAATGAGCAAAAGGAAAGCAGAAGAGACATGAAACCATTACAAGGGAAAAATCAGAATATTTCACACACATTGATTTTTAAAATAAAAACCAAGAGAGGAGAGATGAAGAGGCAGTAGGGGAAAGAGATAGTGGGGAAAAAAGTAATATATGGAGACAGATGGTGACTATACTTAAGGTGGTAAGCATGGAATGTATGTATGGAATTGTTGAATTAATATGTTGTACACTTGAAACTAATAAAAGATTGTACGTTAATTATACTTCAGTTAAAAAAATAAAGAGAAAAAAATGATGTAAGGGCAGTTAAACTACAGGGAGAAAAATAGAATAGCTATGAGAAAGATAACAGAAGAGTAGTAATGAAATAACTGGAAAAAGACTAACATTTCAGAATTTGTTGTTACCACATTCAGTGCTCTGCTATGCAGCCCCTCAGGCATTGCCTTTTTCCAACATCACCCATCTTGTCTGAATGATTGTGAGGGGAGTGTCATATAACTGTTGTCTTAACCAGGCAGCCATAATGGGCTGTTTCCCTGCCCCCCATGATGCTTTGTATCCCGACATCCCTGTCTCACTCACTCATCTCCTAGGTTGGAGAGTTGCCTGGTCTGTGCTGGTCGGATGTTTTGTAGATGCTGGGTTGTCCCCTCTGCAATTGCTGCATGACCTGCAGCTCACAGCTTTCCTGCTTCAAAGCTGACACCAGTAGGAATACCTCCCCCTCTGAGAGGCTTGCCTTCCTCTGCTGTTCACCCTTGTTTCCTGTGCCTTTATCTGGGTAGTGCTCCTGAGCTTGGTATAGTTCAAATACTGTTGAAAGGTTCACTCTACCAACACTAGGCTGCATGGGTGCACATTCTTGGGTCAAGGGTACTAGGGGTGGAGAGGAGACAAACATAAAGAATTATGTTACTGACTGCAGGACCCCTTTTCTGACACCATTAGGGTTCTGAGGCAATGTAGAGCAGCCAGACACTAGTCAAGAGTTTTAAAACTTCAGGATGTTTTGGTGTTTTTGTGATATTGGCATAATGGAGCAGGCTATACAATGTCTCAGACTTAGAAAGGTCAGCTTTCCTTGACACAAAGCAAAGCTGTTTGCTCAACACAAGTGTTCAGCTGTTTACTCTGTTCAGTTGCCGTCTATCACCATAACAACTCCTATGCCCTAAGGTTCGTCTTTGCTCCTGGGCCCCAACACATGGATCCACAGCACTAATTGTCCAGCTCAAAGTCACTGCAGACCCTCACAGAGCCACTTCCTATGCTCCAAGGCTGTTTTCAGGCATTACTATAGAGTAACTCAGTTAATCTTCTCATGGTTTTATGGGCTAGATACTGTTATTGTCCCTAATTTGGAGATAAGGAAACTGAGGCACAGAGAAGCTAAGTTACTAGCCCAAAGTCATGCAGCTGGTAAGTGGCAGAGCAGGTATTTGAAACCAAGCAGTCTGGCTCCACAATCCATGTTCTTAATCTCTATGCTGCATAGCCTCTCAGTGTTTTAGGTACTCTCAGCTGCTCTGGTCCTTTTGGCATCCTCTGTGACCCATTCTTTTTATTTTTTTAAAATTTTTTTATTGTTATGTTAATCACCATACATTACATCATTAGTTTTTGATGTAGTGTTCCATGATCCATTGTTTGTGCATAACACCCAGTGCTCCATGCAGAACGTGCCCTCCTTAATATGTATCACCAGGCTAACCCATCCTCCCACCCCCCCTCCCCTCTAGAACCCTCAGTTTGTTTTTCAGAGTCCATTGTCTCTCATGGTTCGTTTCCCCCTCAGATTTCCCCCCTTTCATTCTTCCCCTTCTGCTGCTTTTTTCTTTCTTAACATATGCTGCATTATTTGTTTCAGAGGTACAGATCTGTGATTCAACAGTCTTGCACAATTCACAGTGCTCACCTCCCCAGTGTCTATCACCCAGCCACCCCATCCCTCCCACCCCACCCCCCTCTCCAGCAACCCTCACTTTGTTTCCTGAGATTAAGAATTCCTCATATCAGTGAGGTCATACAGTACATGTCTTTCTCTGATTGCCTTATTTCGTTCAGCATAACACCCTCCAGTTTCATCCACGTCGTTGCAAATGGCAAGATCTCATTCCTTTTGATGGCTGCATAATATTCCATTGTATATATATATACCACATCTTCTTTACCCATCACTGTGACCCATTCTTATCCTTTCTTTGATATCCAGCTTCCTCATACACGAAAGTCTAAGTTGTATAGATCTTCATTTCCAGGGACGGAATCCCCCTAATTAATTGGTGGGTTGTAAGCAAATCCACACTAAGTGGCCAAGGTAAGGAGGCAAGCCTGGGGAGAGATTGGTGTCCTTCATAACTGGTCTTAATTGTAAGATCATTCATCACACAACCAGGAGAGCTGTCTGGAGATGGCTTTCCTGGCATGAGGCAGTGGGTTGGATGTCTAATGGAGGTAAGTAGAAGTGCTGGAAAATCCATAAATCAGTGGATTCTGCTCTGGGTGTGGGGGAGAGAGGTGACACGTGAAGGGAATTCTTTCCTTTGATGAAGCCATTTTTTGTACACTGAAGTCATATACTTCCTGACATTTATCACTTAATGATCCTTTTCTTTTTCTAGGCCAGAATAAGCTGACATTTGTACTTTCTGTTTGTTGTTTCAGGTGCTGAAACCAAGAAGCCACAGTTACTGGTTCCAAAAACTGAGATATGTGATGAAGCAGAAAAACCGTTCATAAAATCAGGAAGAATCCAGAAAGTTAATCCTCAAGGACCTGAGTTAGGAGAAGCCTGTGAAAAAGGGAACATGTTAAAGAGGCAGACAATTAAGAGGGAAAAGAAAGATTTCAGACATGTGACAGTAAAGGACTGTCATGTACCTGAAAGCTTCAAAGTAGAGGAAGATCAGAAATGTCAGAAATCTGGGGAAAGATATAGCTTTAGTTCTAGCTCTGTTAAAAATCAGAAAAGCCAGCCTGGACAGAAACCTTTTACATGTAGTGTATGTGGGAAAGGCTTTAGTCAGAGTGCAAACCTCGTAGTGCATCAGCGAATCCACACAGGGGAGAAGCCCTTCGAATGTCATGAGTGTGGGAAAGCCTTCATTCAGAGTGCAAACCTTGTTGTACATCAGCGAATCCACACTGGACAGAAACCATATGTTTGTTCAAAATGTGGGAAAGCCTTCACTCAGAGTTCAAATCTGACCGTACATCAAAAAATCCACTCCTTAGAAAAAACCTTTAAGTGCAGTGAATGTGAGAAAGCCTTCAGTTATAGCTCACAACTTGCTCGGCACCAGAAAGTTCACATTACCGAAAAATGCTATGAATGTAATGAGTGTGGGAAAACATTTACTCGGAGCTCAAACCTCATTGTCCACCAGAGGATCCACACTGGGGAGAAGCCCTTTGCCTGTAATGATTGTGGCAAAGCCTTCACCCAGAGTGCAAATCTTATTGTACATCAACGAAGCCATACTGGTGAAAAGCCATATGAGTGTAAAGAGTGTGGAAAAGCCTTTAGTTGTTTTTCACACCTTATTGTGCACCAGAGAATTCACACTGCGGAGAAACCTTACGATTGCAGTGAGTGTGGAAAAGCCTTCAGTCAGCTGTCTTGCCTTATTGTGCATCAGAGGATTCACAGTGGAGATCTTCCTTATGTGTGTAATGAGTGTGGGAAGGCCTTCACGTGTAGCTCATACCTGCTTATTCATCAGAGAATTCATAATGGGGAAAAACCTTACACATGCAATGAATGTGGCAAGGCCTTCCGGCAGAGGTCAAGCCTCACTGTGCACCAGAGAACCCACACTGGGGAGAAGCCCTATGAGTGTGCCAAGTGTGGTGCAGCTTTCATTTCTAACTCGCACCTCATGCGACACCACAGAACCCATCTTGTTGAGTAACAAGTATTTGTTACTCCAGACATTGATCATAATCCACTACACCCTAATTGGACACGTCTTTGCTGTTACGTTCCTCTAAAAATGAGGCCCACCATATTCTTAAAAGTAAGTTTTTGGGAGTGTATCATAGAACATACACATTTCAGAAGCTGACTTAAAGTGAAAGCTAAGCACCTAAAGGCAAGGACTGTTTTTTAACTGTCGTCATGTTTGAAATGGAATGTGGCTTAGAAATGGGTCATACAAGGCTAAGTGATAAAGATCCTATTTGAGAAAAGGTATTTTAACTTAATCTTGTTTTTTAAAATTCATAATTTCTTGAGCAACAGGCAGGTTATTGGTATAGGTCTGCTTGGTGGAATTCTGGAGCTTTGAATCTTGTATTCTAGTATTTTGGGTTAAGAAGTAATGACTAAGGAAACTACCTGGGGTAGCAATTCACCAACAACTCACCTGTGAACATTTATAAGCTTTCCATTCCTTCGGCAATTTGAACATTAAAAGAAAAAAAAAAACATTATCTGCTGCTCCTAAAATAGAAGTAGGAAACAGCTGTTTCTTTTAATTGTCTATACCTCATGAACCTTGGTATGGTAAAGCTCTGGGGAGATCTCAAGTCTTCCATTCTGCAGTCTGTGTGGCCAAGCACTTGAGGATTGATGGTGACAAAACACTGGGGTCATACATGCTGCCAGGCAGTATTCATTTGCTAACATCAGCTCTCCAAGTGACCCTAACTTCCGTTGCATTCCATTGGAGTGAGATGCCTGTAACAGTCCCGTTCTCAGATAGAGGAGTCAAAGAATAAAGCTTGCTGAGAGGCATGCCCATATTATCTATGCTCATTCTGCTCAGGCCTAGCCAGGGGGCTCAGTTTGGGTGTCATTCTCACTTTTTGGCTGGTCTTTAGAAGAAATAATGGAGTCCTAATTTTAAGAGGACCAAAGAGGGAAATACAGGGAGAGGAAGGAGGCAGAGTGGGACTCCTAAGGTCTTTATTTTTTTGAGAAGCTCAAAGGTATTGGAATGTGAAAACTTAGAAAGATGAAGAAACTGGCTAAGGTAAGATAACCTTTATTACCATTGAGCCTTTATTCCTGGAAAAAATGATTTATAAAACTATGCAATAGGTAGAGCTATGTAATATTGCCTTGTATTTAATATAGAACTTAATTCTTTGTTTATACACCTTCATGTATAGAATCATAATCCCCAGCACTTCTCTTATGCTTTCACATAAATCCTTACTTTAATCCTTAGAACACTGAAAGAAGTGTTTGCCCCATTTAGTTGAGAGTGGTCAAACAACAAAGAACAGCCTACATTCAAATCCAGGACTTAAATCCAGGTTCTCTGTTCTGCCATGCTGTGTCTAACCACCCAGATCTGCGGAGAGCCTGAGAAAGTGGTATATGGGTCATTCTCAGGTGAGGAAGCTGAGGTGACAGATTTTAGGATGTGCCTTAGGCCATGTGACCAATAAGCAGCAAATCTGAGACTGGAATTTGAGTCTCCCAAGTTCTGGGTCTGTCTCTTCACCCCACTTAGTAAGCAAGAGCATATCATAAATGCCCTACCTGGTGATAAGCTATCTGATGCAACTCATGTAGAAGTCTCACCATTGGGACTCTTACTGGCTCATTTGTTCTGTATTTTACAGAGCACTTTCATGTACAGAAGGCATAAACAAAGCTTATTTCCTCTTTCTCCTCCCCTTGAACCATAGTCTTTCATCCAAGCATGTGCACCACCTTTTCCCAGTTTGCAGTCTAAATCATACACAATTCTAAGAAATTAATAGGATTCAAAAGTGAGAATCAAAAATGCTCATGTACTCACTGACCTTGAAAGTAACTGTTCCTGTCCCCCAGCTGGGAGTGGAGAGACCCAAAGATAACACTTATGTCTGCTGAGGAACAAGCTTAGGTTTTTCCCCCTTCAGGATCAGGAAGCCCAGAAGAGAGGGAGAGCAGGTCTGAAGATTGGGGATAAATCTGTGACCTGGACCTGTCCAGAGACCAAAAGTGTACTTTCCTGAATGATACCAGCTGGGTTAGGATTCTTACGGCAGTTAAATTGTTTTAGCTTCACATTGTATGTTCTTCCTCCTATTTGAATGTTTGTCATGGGTGATTGTGATTTCCTGGCTAAAGATTGCTGTTCATAGGCAGTTCAGAAAAGGCTACGTAGGTGATGGTGATGCAAAGCTGGATTTGGGAATCACTGAACCAACCTTGCAGTGAAACAGTGGTATTCACTTGGCTGCATGTTAGAATCACCTTGTGTACTTAAAAAATTTTTTCATTCCCAGGGCCAAGTATTTTTTTTTCAATTCTGGAGGGGAACCCAATGTGTAACCAAGGTAATGGCCAATGCAGTCAAGTAAAGTCTGCAGACCACAAATGCATCTGATCAAAGGTGGAGTGGGGAGGCCCTAGTATAAGGATGTGGATGTGCAGAGTGCTCTGTGGTTTCAGCAAAACAGAATGCTAACAACATTGGCTGCACTGGATGTCCTGTACCTTGGCTGTAAGGATTGTGTTCCCTAACTTTATTTGTATTTTAAATGAATATACCAAATACTTTATATATATGAGCAAACCAAGTTTTATGCATTTATATTCCTCATCCAACAAAATGACTTTTTACATTTGTACTTTATTTCATCTCCATGGCTTGATTTCCACAAACCTGCACACAGGTTCAGGACCTTCAATCCTGCACAAATCATGTGAGCCTAGTGGATTACCAGACAGACCAGATCCTTACCCAACTAACAACTCTTACTTCTAGTTCATTTCCAGTCCTCAGAATAGATTACCTGCCCTCCTTTTTCTGTATGGTTTCGGGTAGATGAGAAGTGACTACTACTAGTTGTCACCGTTGGCTTAGGTTCCTCTTTTCCTAGAGGTCAACTCCTTTCTCCCTTGGCTGTTATTTCTAGAAGTGGATGGGAACTCAAGCCCTGTTTCTTAAGTTGCCAAGAGCTATCAGAGTTTTAGTTATAAAAGAGCCAGGCCAATTGATGGGTATTAAGAGTAGAGCCAGGAAGTCTCAAGTGAGTACAACAGTTGTGTATTAAGGGGAGCACAGTGATGTGAAAGTGATAATACAGTCTTGTACTTTGAGGGGCATAGGAGAGACTCATCATTCACACACACACACACACACACACACACACACACACACACACACACACCCCTCAATCGCCCATGGATTCCTCCAAGCTCAGGAAGAGGTCCTTGGGCAAAGCTAATCTTAACTCTGTGTTCTGGGTCCCTTCCCTCCCTTGCCTAGGCAGTTGTCCTTTCACATCTGTCACTTTGCTCCTCCATCCAGTGTACTCAATCTTCCTGGGCTCACAGCCCCGTTGAGGATCTAATGGAAGTTGCAGATCCTCTTCCAAAGAAATGCGGATAGCACATTCAGTTTTTTGCTCATTTGTGGGGGCATATAGGCTCCCTGAGACCAGTTCTTGAATCCTCTAGGGCCTAAAGTCACACTTGGGGATGCACTACATAATTGCTGGTGGCATTTTTTAAAAATGAGGTCAGAAGTTATGGATGTTGCCCAAACACAACCTTCTAAATCTTGCTTTTCCTGGATTCCTTCCTTAAGCAAATGACAGCATTATCCAGCACCCAAACTGGAAACTCAGGAGGTATTTCTGGCTTTCTGTGTATCATTCTTTTGCTACAACAGTACTTTTCACTCTCTTTTTGGCAAACATGGTGCTAGTTCCTGGAGTGCAAAGGCAAACAAGGCCTACCAAATCCTTCTGATGTTTCATAGGAAACCTGTCCATACCCTTTAACATGATTTACTAAGTCTTCATAGTCTCTTTCCAACCTAATCTCTCCACTTTCCATGTACTTTTTACTGTAGCCTGGAGGTATATACTTGCTTTTCTCTGTGCCTTTGCTCACACTCTCCCCGGTGCTTATTATCATCACTTCTTATCCACCTCCTGTCTACTTTGCCTAGCTTTAGATTTCTTTTAAGGTTTGATTCCAGTCTCATCTTTGGGAGCCCTCTGATTGCCCTTTAGCAAGTATATATTTAGAAGTATGGAAGAGCATATGGTATGTTTCCACTTTATGCTTTAAAGTGAAAAAATGGATTCATAATTGTGTATATAGTACAGTTCTCATATAATGTTTCATATACTATGTACTGTTAAAAAGTAATTGATAAATTGCCTGAAGGAAATATAAGAAAATGTTGTTAAGTGGTTAAGTGATATATTCACAGCCATACAAATGGTAAATTGCAGAACTTAGGCTCAAACCCGGTCCTATAGATTATAGAATTATGGGTGATTAAAAGTCATTTTTTTCTTTTTAAGTAATTTCCACATTTTCTATAAGGAACAAGAATTTTATAATCAGGAAAAAAATTATATTTACATATACTTATTTTATGTATTAACTATAAACAGTATTTTAATTCTGTATTTTAAGATGTGGGATATACCCTGCCATTTCTTTCTCCTTTCCTATCCATCTCTCTGCCTCTGACAATGTCAAGTCTGAATCTTGAACTCTATTCTGTAACCATAGTTAGTCTTTTATGCTTTATTGATTTGTTCTAAAAATTGAAAATAAACAGCATGAATGTTATTATGACCATGTAAGTATTGCAGATCTAAGTAGCTTACTATGATTACACACACACACACATTCACTCACTCACTGAATTTTGTTTTTACTGGAGTTTTTAGTTGCCTTTCTTTCCCCCTTGTACGGGTTGCCTTTAGCACACTCTGAGTGATTTTCAGATTCTCCATCCAATTAGATAACTCTGTTGAATCCCCTTTTTTCTCTTCAAGAGATCTCTAGCTTCCTGCACTGGTCTGTCCTTGATGTTTTTCTGCCCACTGTTTTGTTGTTATACAGGATTTCGTTGTGTCCTGAATTGTACATGTTGCTCTTTTTTCATTAACTCCTTAATTTCACTGCAGCACATCTTCAAGGCACTTGCCAAGAAAGAGTATATGGAAGACAAAATTATTGAGGGCTTATATATTAAAAAAATATCTTTCTCTGTCCTCAAGCTTGATTGGTACTTGGACTGGCTTTGAAATTCTACATTGAAAAATTTCCCCAGAATTTGTAGATGCCTGGTTCCAATCTGATTCTTTTTTTAAAAAAATATATTTGTCAGAGAGCACAATGGGGAGCAGCAGGCAGAGGGAGAAGCAGGCTGAGCAAGGAGCCCGATGTGGGACTTGATCCCAGGACACTGGGATTATGACCTGAGCTGAAGGCAGCCGCTTAACCACCTGAGCTACCCAGGCATCCCTCCAGTCTGATTCTTATTTCTTTGACAATCAATAAATACTACTTGCATTACTGTAATCTGTTCCCATACCCCCATGCCTGGAAGCTTTTAAAGTCTTCTTGGTGCAATCGATTCCCCAGTGTACTCAGTGGAATTTTTCAATCTAGTGACTCAGGTTACTTTTATTCTTGGAAATTTTCTTGTGTTATGTGATAATTCCCTTTCCATATATTTTTTTTTCTGTTTTTACTCTTTTTGGAATTCCTGTCAATCACATATTGACCTTGTGGATTGATCCTCAACTACTTTCTGTGTTATTACCATGTCCTTGTTTTGTGCTATTTTCAGGGAGAATACCTTCGTTATTTTTCAATCTGTCTAGTGAATTTCTTATTTTGGCAATAATTAATTTCTAAAAAGCCTTTTTTCCCTGTTTGTTCCTTTTTTGTAGTATACTATTCTAGTTTTAGAGATACCTTTTCTTAAAGGTTTCTCTTGTCACCTGATAACTCACGCCTTCATGCCCTTGCCCCTGAGTTCTTTTTTCTCTTTGTTTACTCTCATTGGAGACTTCCCTCAAATATGTTGTGATTCTTACTGACATATACAAATAAATCTGTGTGTGTGTATCAAAAGTCCAATTGAGACCTCTGTGTGTGGGGGTGGAATTTGCTCAGTCAAGAGGCTTCCTTCAAGAGTACTTGGTAGGGAGCAAGCTCTTTCCCTAGAAACCTCTAAGTGCCAGAATGATGAGATCTTTTGTCTGGGGCTCATATGCTTCTTTAGCAGGAAATCCTCTGATGTTTTTGTCTGGGGCTTGGATGCCATAAGTGCTTCTGTAGGAATGGGAGAGAAGAAAATCAAGTGTTATTATAGATTTTTGGTTAATGCCCTCATTTTTAGCCTCACTTTTCCCTCCCACCCTTAATGTACCTGGGGTTTCCAAGTCCCAAGTTGCTTTGGGATTTGGCAGGGTATGTTAGCTACCTCCTTCCATTGTATTGCCCTCAGCAAGTGTTCCAAGCTGTTACTCCCTCCATGCAACTTTCTCAGTTACCACTTCATCCATTTTCCATCTTACAAAGATTTGTTCCCCTTATCACATTATTATTTATACATTTTAAGTCATTATAATTCATTATAATGTTTTATAAAAAGGAAAACATCAGTCACAGGTTGTTTTCCTTTTTTTTTTTTTTAATTAAACAGTAACACTGGCAAGTATACAAATCACTGTCAAAATATTCATTTTTAGGATAGCTAAGTCAAAGCATATCAACATTGTTTTTTTAAATGTTTTAACTTCCCCTAATATTAGCAGCAGAATAAGGGACTGGGGAATAAAGAGACCAGTTACCTAGAACCTAATGGTGAACAGAGTTCAGGCAGGGAATATATGTAACCGCAGTGACTTACAGTTGTGGCTGGAGTGTGGGGGCTAGGCCGTGAGGGGAGAAAGGAATCTTGGAGACCATACAGATAGCTTTTGTCAGACTACATGGGAGATTCTGACCCAGGCAGGGTCAGGGGGCCAGAAGAAAAGGGACAGATGCACTGAGCAGGCCTTAGGGGCATGAAAGATCAAGCAGCAAATCACCAAGCCAGAAATCAGCCTCTACACCCCGGTGAAACATGACTTGTGACAAATGGGTCCTGGCCCAGTCCTGAGAAGCCCTGGTTTCCTTGTGCCTCTCGGGCCACCCTGTGTTCATAGTGGTCAATACTTCTGTGGTGTTGGGCAGGGGTTTGGGAGAAGGAACCTAAGTCCTAGCAGGCTAGTAGCAAGGTTGTAACCACCCCATTCATTGAGGGGTTCCTGTTTGGGAGGCTAAATGCCAAATGTTCTTTTTTTTTTTTTTTTAAGATTTATTTATTTATTTATTTGAGACAGAGAGAATGAGAGAGAGAGCACATGAGAGGGGGGAGGGTCAGAGGCAGAAGCAGGCTCCCTGCCGAGCAGGGCGCCCGATGCGGGACTCGATCCAGGGACTCCAGGATCATGACCTGAGCCGAAGGCAGTTGCTTAACCAACTGAGCCACCCAGGCGCCCAAATGCCAAATGTTCTTTATTCCATTTAGTCCTCACCTGAGGAGGGAAGTTCTTTTATAATCCCCATTTTCAAGGGTAGTATTCACAGTCAGTATTAGAATAATTCTGAGGTCAAAGCCTGTGCCCCTTTCTCCCAAGCTACTTTCTCAATGTCTCTCCAGAGACCCTTCTCATCAAAAGTTACAAAAGGAAACAATGAAGAGTAAGTCTTCTTCCTAGCCCAGAGTACCCCAGGTTAGGAGTACCCTGGAAATAACTGTTGCAAATTTCTTGATCCTTCCAGAGAGAGTCTGTGCATTTACAGTCTTACGTATCCCCCGTTAAAACACACAAACAGGAACTTAGGATATGCACTGTCTACACCTTGTTTTTTTGTTTGTTCTTTTTTTTCATTTAGTGTATCTTGGAGATGGTTTTATATTAGCCTATAAGATCTACCTCATTCTTTTTTTTTCTTTGCCATGTGATAGTCAATTGTATGGGTATACCATAATTCATGTAGCAGTATCCTGTTGGTGGGCATGTAGGTTCTTTTCTATCTTTTGTTTTACAAACAATGCCATGGTGAATAGCCCAACACACCATCTTGTTGTGTGTGTGACTTTGCAGGATAAGTTGATAGAGGGTAGGTACATTTGGTATTTTGATAGAAATTGCAAATGCAGTTCCCAGTATGTATATGAAAATGCCCATTTCCATGAGTCTTCTATAAAACTATTGTTTTCTGGTCTGATAAGTGAGAACTTCTCTCATGTTTTATTTTGTGTTCAATACAACTGAAACTGGATATTGTGTCAGCTGTTTACAAAGTCGTGTGTTTCTTTTTTCTGTCATTTGCTTGTTCATGTTCTTTAGCAGTTTTCTGTTGGGTTGATCCTTTTAAGAATTGGTCCTTTCTTGATTAAAACTTCACAGTGTAGGTATAGAAGGTACAAACCTCAGTATCATAAAAGCCATCTATGAAAAACCCACAGCAAATATCATTCTCAATGGGGAAAAACAGAGCTTTTCCTGTAAGGTCAGAAACATGGCAGGGATGTCCACTCTCACCACTACTGTTCAACACAGTACTAGAAGTCCTCGCCTCAGCAATCAGACAACAAAAAAGGAATAAAAGGCAGCTGAACCAGCAAAGAAGTCAAACTCTCATTCTTTGCAGGTGATATGATACTTTATGTGGAAAACCCAAAAGACTCCACTCCAAAATTGCTTTAACTCATACAGGAATTCAGCAACATGGCAGGATATAAAATCAATGCACAGAAATCAGTTGCATTTCTATACACCAATAACAGAAGAAAGAGAAGTTAAGGAGTCAATCGCATTTACAATTGCACCCAAAACCATAAGATACCTGGGAATAAATCTAACCAAAGAGGCAAAAGATCTGTACTCAGAAAACTATGGAATACTCATGAAAGAAATTGAGGAAGACACAAAGAAATGGAAAAACATTCCATGCTCATGGATTGGAAGAACAAATATTGTTAAAATTTCTATGCTACCTAGAGCAATCTACACATTAAATGCAATCCCTATTAAAATGCCATCAAATTTTTTCACAGAACTGGAACAAATAATCCTAAAATTTGTATGGAACCAGAAAAGACCTTGAGTAGCCAGAGGAATGTTGAAAAAGAAAAGCAGGGGCGCCTGGGTGGCTCAGTTGTTAAGCGTCTGCCTTCGGCTCAGGTTATGATCCCAGAGTCCTGGGATCGAGCCCCACATCGGGCTCCCTCCTCAGCGGGAAGCCTGCTGTTTTTCTTTTCCAACATCTCCTTGGCGATTCGGGGTCTTTTCTGATTCCATACAAATTTTAGGATTGTTTGTTCCAGCACTTTGAAAAATGTCATTGGAATTTTGATCGGGATGGCATTGAAGGTATAGATTGCTCTGGGTAGCATAGACATTTTAACAATATTTATTCTTCCAATCCATGAGCATGGAATATTTTTCCATCTTTTTGTGTCTTCTTCAATTTCTTTCATGAGTGTTTTGTAGTTCCTAGAGTACTACCTCTTTGGTTAGGTTTATTCTGAGGTATCTTATGGTTTTTGGTGCTATTGTAAATGGAATCGTTTCTTTAATTTCTCTTTCTATAGTTGTGTTCTTAGTGTATAAGAAAGCAACTGATTTCTGTGCATTGATTTTGGATCCTGCCACATTACTGAATTGCTGGATGAGTTCTAGTAATTTGGGGGTGGAGTCTTCTGGGTTTTCCACATAAAGTATCATGTCGTCTGCGAAAAGAGAGAGTTTGACTTCTTCTTTGCCAATTTGAATACCTTT